CCTACTGCCCAGCTTTGACCAGGCCCTGCCCCATCTATTGCTGCCATTTGGGGAGTGAACTAGCAGATGGAAGATCAACCTCTGTCTCTCCCTCTCTCTTTTGCTGCAACTTTGACTTTTAAAAAAATCTGAATGAGCAGCAGTTAATTAAAAAATGGGTGTATTCAAATAGGGAGCAGCACCTCGGAAGGGGGGAGTTTGAATGGTGCCTGATGTATGGGAAGCACTGATAGAAAGCCAGTATAGTGGCCACTCAGATGACAAAGGTGGGCATGTTGCAGGATTAGTGAGTGAGGCACAGGCCCAATCACACAGGGCCTCGCTAACCACGTCAAGGATTTTGCTTTCTCCTGAAACCAGTGGGAAGCCTTTTTTTGGTAAACCTATCCAATCAGCGATGCTTGCATTCTGTAAAGACCACGTGAGCTGCAATCTGGAGAACGGATGGGAGGAGAGCAAGAGCAGAGGCTGGGCACCAACCAGGAGAAAAGGTATCTGCAGCACTTCCAGGAGTAATGCCGGGTGCTTGGCCCAGAGTAAACAGGGGGGTGAGGCACTAGGGATACAGAGACATGGAGAAACTGGGTAAAAACAGTGAGTGTAGGCACAGAAAGCAGTAAGGCCAGCTGCACCATGTCACACCTAAAGGAAAGGAACAGTTACTGAGCTTGGAAACACACGCTGGTGTTTCAGGGCACCAGAGTGTAGCTGAAGCACAAGCAGCTCACAGGCCTAACAGCCACGTGAGTGCAGACAAGTCAACCTCTGCGCCTCGATTTCCTCATCTGTGCAACATGGGAAACAGGAGTTCCCAACCACACAGGAAAACACTGGGCAGATCAAGTCAAAACATATACAGAGTTTTTCATCGCAGGATTCAGCACACGGTGAAGTCCCAGAAAATGCTAGCAGGAGTCATGTTACTATGTAAGAGGTCACACATCCTCCAGGCTCTCTCCAAACCCCATCAGAATGCCAGTGGAAGCACGTTTATAAAGGCATAAACCCATGTGGAGGAGAAAAAAAGGAAACCAAGAGGCAAGAACAACAAATTTTTAAAGGATGGAAAGTAGATGGGCAACTGCTGTGACCCAGCATTCCTTAAAAGGCCGCATCACAAGACGGTAGTGCAAAAAGCCAAGAAATTATGTGATTTGCAGCAAAAGTCCCCATAAAATTCAGGATGCGGTGACATCAAGTTATTCAGGAAGTGAGGCTGAAGGCGAAGCTAAGCATAGGATTGCTGCAAAACCCAGAGAGACCCCAGCCCTCCAATATCCTCACCCCACCTCCATGCAGCTAAGGAGCTGCTCCGCCCTCTCCCCTTCTTCACAGAAAATGAGCTCTCTCCCCGCTGGAGAAGGTAAATGCAAAGTCTGCAAGTGAGGAGCAACAGCGACAGGCGGGGGTGCACACGACACAGGGCGGCTACCTGACAGTTCACACCTTGAGGGCCGCCTTGCAGAAGGCCAGCAGCCAGGCTTCTAGCCTGCAGCCAGCAGATGAGACGACTTCACTGACATCAAGGGTTGCACAAAGCCATGGCCCTGCTAGATTATACCAGGGCAACACACATAGTAACCCACCTACAGCTTCTGAGGGCCCTGCTCTTAATATGAGTCAACTGCCACAAAAAAACCCTCAGTATCTGAAATCCTCATAATATTACTATGGCAAAAAAGAAGGAATTCAGCAAATGCAATGAATGTCCCTAATCAGTTGACTTTAATCAAAAAGAAGGTGTGCCAGGTGAACTGGGCCTAATCAGATGAGCTCTTTTTTAGCGGCAAAAAAAACAGAAGTCAGAAGAACGCTCTCCTACTGGTCCTGAATATGCAAAACCACGTTATTAACATCGCTGAGACCTTAGTTCTACAACTGCAAGGAAATGAATTTTGTCAACAAAGGGGGACCTTGGAAGAAGACCTGCAGTGCAAGCACCAGATACGGGCGCCAGCCGGAGTCCCGGCTGCTCCACTCCTGATCCAGTTCCCTGCTAATGTGCCTGGGAAAGCAGCAGAAGAGGGCCCAGTACTTGGGCCCCTGCACTCATGTGGGAGACATGGATGAAGCTCCTGGCTTCAGCCTGGCACAGCCCTGGCCATTGTGGCCATTTGGGGAGCGAGCAGCAGATAGAAGACCTCTCTCTCTCTCTCTCTGTCCCTACCTTTACCTCTTTCTCTCTCTGTAACCCTGACTTTCAAATAAAAATAAAATAAAGTCTTAAAAAGAAAAAAAAGAATTCTGCCTCTCAAATAAAGAAATCTTAAAAAAAGAAAAAAGTGTGAAAAATCCCTGTTGTTTCAGCCGGTAAATCTGTGTAATTAGTTACCCCTCCTAGAAAAGACAGACCTGTATACTCCAGGTAAATGACACCTCAATAAACAAGACTGAAAAAACATGATAGCAGAAAAGGGAAACCTCTACTGTGGGGTTAAAACATAAAGTTTGAAGGCATCACTCAGAAAACACAGCCAGAGAGACAAAAATGGAAAAATCGCAGAGAAAAGATAAGAAAATGAAACGAACAGAGCCATTATCAAAATAGAACTTTCTGAAAGGAAGAAAAGGAAATCATGACAAAACTCAAGAAAAATTTCAAAACACCAGAACCTAACTTCCCAGTTTTAAAGGTCTTGCCAAGAACTATCCAGCAACAAAAAAATAGATGAAACAAACAAAAAGATCCCACAGGACTTCAACCAGTTAAAATCACAAGAATCTAAATTAAAATAGCCTCAGACTTTAACAACCCTAGAGGCCGGGAAATAATAAAGAAGTATACTGAGGCCGGCGCCACGGCTCACTAGGCTAACCCTCCGCCTTGCGGCGCCGGCACACCGGGTTCTAGTCCCAGTCGGGGCGCCAGATTCTGTCCCGGTTGCCCCTCTTCCAGGCCAGCTCTCTGCTGTGGCCAGGGAGTGCAGTGGAGGATGGCCCAAGTGCTTGGGCCCTGCACCCCATGGGAGACCAGGAGAAGCACCTGGCTCCTGCCTTCGGATTAGCGTGGTGTGCTGGCCGCAGCACGCCGGCCATTAGAGGGTGAACCAACGGCAAAGGAAGACCTTTCTCTCTGTCTTTCTCTCTCACTGTCCACTCTGCCTGTGAGAGAAAAAAAATAATAACATAATAAAGTATAGAAAGAAAGAAGGGAAGAAAGAAAGAAAGAACACTGAAAAAGAAAAAACACTTAAAATATAGAATTCTCCACCCAAGCAAGCTACTGATTAAGCATAACATCTGGACAAGCCTTTTCCAACACACGTCATCCCCCAAAATTTGCTTACTAGGCAAAAATCTTCAGGAGAATGTGCTCCACCAGAAGGGAATAAATCAAGAAAGAAAATACACAGGACACAAGAACTAAGGATTCCTACACAGGGATACACGAGGGAGCCCCAGGGTACCAGCTGAACAGCTGGCGAGGAGGATGGTCTGCTGGAGCTGACCATTCCTGAGCCCTGCAGGAAGGCAAGAGGGGTGGCACACATGATACAGCCGAACACCTGGAGAGCCACACAGCCTGGGGCACGGCATGGAGCTGGATTAGCTATGAGCACACAGAAGCAAAACCACTGGAAGACTATCTGAAGCAGACGTTTCATCTAGCAGTTAAGACGCCACTTAGGACACACGCATCACAAACCCGAGTGTCCTCGGCTGCGGCTCCCTGACTCCAGCTTCCTGCCACTGCAGACCCTGAAGGGCAGCGACGATGGCCCAAATGACTGGGTTCCTGCCACCCATGCGGGAGCCCTGGACTGAGTTCCCAGCTGTTGTGGGCATCTGGGGAGTGAGTCAGGGGAGGAGCACTTCGTGTATGTGTGCTTCCTCTGTTTCTCTACCTCTCAAATAAACAAACAATAAAGTAAAAACAGTTTCAAGAGCAAAAAGTTGTAAAGGTAAGGAAATATAGACAAAGAATATGCAGGAGGCTCAAATACGATTATAATTCACAGTCATAATAATTTGAAAACTTAATACTGATCTAGCCAATATCACATTTTGATTGTTTTGGAAGCAGTTTAATTGTATGCACAATGTGAGAACTAATTTCTTTTCTCTCAAGGGAAGTTCACGGATAACACCTACACAAGACTAAAGGAATAAATCTGCTATTTCAAGACACATAGATTAAAAAGTAGCTTCTCTTAGAGGAGAAAAAACAGGAGCAGCGAGAAGGCAGCTGCTTTATTTTTCACAGAAAGCTCTGCGAGGCAGAGACAAGGCAGTTCTGGTTCTCCATGATCTTTTTCAACCCCTCCCTCAGCTGGTTAAGCACTTTCTATTTTCACAAGTGGAAAGGACAACTTTTGTGTCTAGAATAATTCATTTCACCTTAAAAACGAACTCATGCTTTACTAACTTGGAATCATTAACATTTTTCCCAAATTACCAGTATTAATGAACCAGTTATCTTTTTTTCTTCCTGGCGATCCTAAGAAATAAAGCATGAAGTCAGCACGTGCTCTCCATGGCTTTCCAAACACTGTCCAGTGGCTTCTCCAAGGACCTGCTGTAAGCGGGGTTACCATGTCCCTGATATCCCTGCAGAGTGAGGCTCTCCTTTCACTGCTATTGAAGAAACCAATTTTTCTCTGCCATCAAGGAACTGGCTCACACAACTTGGCACCTACAAGGTCTAACTCAAAATCTATTCTACTTGTCCTGAGTTAAAGGACCATGTCTGTCTGCACAAAACTTTATAAACACAAAATAAGCAGAATTGTGTTTTCAGAGAATTTTATATAGAAATATAAAACAGGTGAGTTCATATATTATCAGCACCAACTTGTCGATGACTCATTTCCCAAAGAGGCTGTTTTATGTGCTGTGTGGGGGATACACACTTAAATTACACTTCCTTAGTGTCTTCCATAACCTTTATCAACCATTAGTACTCAAATGCATTCATCTTGAAAAGTCTGGAGGAAGCTACTTAAATACAGAGACAGAAGGGATCAGTGTTTGCAGTTTATGATTATCCTGCTTTAACTCACCGCTGGGTCTGAGCAGGCCACGGGGTCTGGCTTGGCGTGGGCATGGAGTTCGTGGGACTCACCAGCATGGCACTATAGATATTGGAGGCAACCACAAGGATGCAGAGAAGGATGGGCCCAATGATTGCTCCCTCCAAGCCCAGATAGTAGGCTCCACCAGCCACTGCCAAGCCCGTCAGGTATGGGTGGCCACCTCTGGAACACAGAGCACACCGGTCAGCTCATGAGGCTTAACAAACATCATCCCTGGGGTAAATCTGCAATGCATTTCTAACACCATGTTCATTCTTTAATACTCGAGACTGTTGATGATGCTCTCTGCTTTCTTTTAGATAACCTAAAGGAGGAGAAATAAATATTGATTGTAATAATACCCAGATGCAATAATTTTCTTGCCTATGCACCAGTGGTGTGCCATCTGCCCCTTTTGATAGGTACAGCAACGATTAAATCAGCACCGTGAACAGAAGTTTTCCCCCTACTCCAGGCAGTTGCCTAAGGCAAGTTAATCTCGACTTAGGACTGGTCACACAAGTCACGCGTGAGGTTTACCGCCCTTGAAAAGAATTCAAGAGCACAGCTTTGCATGTCACTCAGCTCATTATGCTTTCGTACAGATGACAACAACAGCATCCCTGGAATTTGCAGCTTAGACTTCTGGCAACTTTCTAAAATAGAGTTTTTAACACAGGTAATGATAGAAGGCCCCATGCGTGTCACAAAGCCCAGGATTTTTATTGCACAAAAGAGTCCTGAGTGCACTCCAGCCTATTACAGTATCACTTACAAAGTGGAATAAAGTAAGATACGTTGCAGCAGCACAGCAAACTGAGAAAGATAAGAAATACCGCTGAGGTTAGGCCGCGGCTATAAATCAGGTTCTGTTTGTTTCCAGTTTTTAAACACAGAGGAGTAGAATAATTTAGTGAGGGGCAAACAACAGAGTACCCCGGAAGGATATTCTCTATTACAGCTTAATAAGTAACACTTGTAGTCAGCCAGTCTTCCAAAAAACAATATTTTATATTCATAATTTATTTCTTTTCCTCATTCCAAAAGGATTTAGGGCAGTATTTCATAAATATTGTTAAATAAGCCTTTTCCCAAAACAATCCACCTGAGGAAGAGTTTTGCCAAAAAAGAACTGAAAGTTTTAAAATTTGTGGAAATTTTTAAATAAAATCTTATTTAAAAAAACTAAATAATTTATGCCAAACTTCTCATTCCCTAGCAATGCTGGTTTAATGAGGTATTTTGTTATTAAAATAAAATCACATATAAATCTTAAATTCTAGCTATAAATCTTAACAAATTTATAGCAAAGTTTAAGGAAATGAAAGCACTTAAATATAAATCATATTCCTATTTCCACTGTTTTGAATTTCAACTGGTGAACACTAGTGAACTCCACTTTGATGTTCTCCTCTTAACTGAAACTTTCTTGCTCAGATTTCAGGCACAAAGTCCCCCTAAAGCTGACGTACGGAGCTGCGGGTTCCTCTCTGCTTTGCAATTCTGAGGCTTCAGAGTAGTTCTCCCTCAGTTATTTCCAACTTTCACAGAGTAGAGAGAAAACAGGGCTTCTACGTAATTTAAATTAACCACAGGACTACTCTTCCTATAAATACAGACCCTGTCTCCTAATTCAGTTTACTTACAGAAAATTGAATGTGTTAACTGATATGAGAGTTCCCGTAGCCATATCCTGAATTTGAGTACCAGACAGATATTCAACATTCAGTCATCAGCTAGATTCTAATAAGCAATGTGAACCTGTTGATAGGACTAAATAAGAAATGACCTGATTTGCTTGATGCAATTTCTAGAAGAAATGTCAAAACTGCAAAAACAGGTATTTATATATTTATTATATGATCAAAGCTTTGACTCTGACTTAAACTTAACCTTCTCACTGAACCACCGTAATCTATCTTAGGTAAGAGAGCTCTGCTTGTCAGATATCTACTTGCTCAGACTGGGTTTACATGGAAATCCTCAGTTATACAATCTCATGTTATATTTCTCCAAAAGGCAAAGAAATGCTGAAAATAACCACAACTTTTTATTATACTTAAAATATTTTACACACATCTGATGGTATTTGTTCCCTAGGTTAAATGCCATAAAATCAAAATATTTACAATTTAATTTTACCCTAGGGTCTCATATATCATGAACAATACATTTATAACAAAATACCATACCTTAAAAAATATACCTCATCAATTTTAAATTCAAATTTCACTGTATCACAAAAGGCTACCTCAATGAAAAAGGCTACCATCAATTCTCCTCGATCCCTACTCCCCAAAACTCCTTTCAGAAAAACAGCAGCAATCTGTGTATGACTCAACCAGTAACTTCAAAAGTTCTGTGTACTACTTACCCTGAGATATCAGAATAGATTGCAGTGTCTACAAAGTAGGTTGGCAAGAGATGAAAAACCAACAGTAAAATGGCCTTGCATCCTAAACCCTGTGTCAGCCACAGGTCAAGAACTGCAGGTACTGCTGCCCAGTATGTCCCCAGGAAGGGCACTGCTCCAAGGATTGCTGCTAATGCTAATAAAAGATTAAAAGAAGAAAAGCAACAATGTTATCAGCAAACCCAAGCCCTTAATCTCCCACTTACGTATTTCCACCAAAATAAATTAAACAAATACTTAAAAACCTAAATTTTATGAGAATGGTATACCCTGTTCAACTTAATTTTTTAATTGAAGGAAGGTCTACTATCTTAACATTTTATATTGAATTTTTTTCAAAAGTGTATATCTACTTTATGAGTCTGTTCTTAAGCAATAAAATTTTAGTGTGCTACAGTTATTATTCTGGATTGGCGGTTAGTTAATTTACAGTCCTATAAATGCAACTATGGAAGATCTGTGAAAATTTGCTCTGAGTCCAAAGCCAAATCAGAAGTTTCTAATCCTCAGATACAAAATGTACATTTGTTACTTCAATTCTAATAACAATGAGATGTATTTAAAACCAAGTCCTGTGAACTCAAGGGCCTCCTTCAAGCTCAGCCCCCTCCAGAGTAATGTGTTCGAGGACTCTCCAGCTGCCTGACCTCCCGCTGAGGCAAGCCAGTGTGGACTCTACCTCTGGTCCAACCACCAGCCAGGTGTGGGACCTGGGAAACCCTCATCTGTAAGACATGAACACCACCTATCCCGCCTGCCTCTTAAGGACTGGTATAAAATAACAACCTCCACATGTTCCTAGGTCTTTGCCTGTGCGAGGTCAGGGCAGTGGACACTAGAGGAGGAAAGAATATGAGAGAACCCAGGAATGTAAAGAAGGAAGGGGACATAGACAAGAGGGGAGAATATAGTGGGAGAGGTGAATGCAGAAGGCCGAGACATGTAGGGAAATAAGCAGCCATGGAAATAAAGGAAGAAGTGGTGGGAGGAACAGAGTGATGGAACCCAGAGGAAGAAGAACAAGGTGGCCATTTAAGCCATCTGGGGCTTGTGGGTAGGATGAGGGTATTATCACAGACCAGATCTCTGGGGGCACAGAAATAGGGTCCATGCCCTCAGAACCATTCCCCTTGCCTGAGGATGGTATCCCCTCATTACAACAGAGCCAGCTGACAACCCACTGCTCCCTGCCAGCCAGCTCCATTCAGCATGTACCGAACACCAGTTATGTGCTCCTGAGTGCTAGGCTAGGTGCTAGGGATTCCAATCATTTAACAAACACTGAAGCAGTGCTTCCCACGTGCTGGGTATGAGTTCAGCTGCTGGGGATACACATCACTGCCTCTAATCTGTACTAGATTAGATCGCATGTCAAAAATACTTACCATTGTAAACTAGAAGGCATTTCCTAACGTTTGTAAAATGTATGGACGTAAAACTTTCCTTAAATAGAGGACAGTGGAAGTTGTGCTGTGGTCGTTACCTGATGGTATGAAGACAATATTGATGCCAAATATAGTATGAGTCAGCCAGGTGTACAATCCATAGAAGCCAGCCATTTTGAGGGAGGCATCAAACACCCCTCTGGAATGCCCAAACACAAAAGAAAGGAGTGAATATGCAAAGAATCATGTTGTGAGTCAGAAAAATCAGTCCTTTTAGGCATCTATCTACTCCATTCCAAATCGGGTAACAGCTTCAATTTTGTTACAGGCCTGAAATCACCGTTCTCATTTTGTTTCAGGAAAACACCAAGACTTCCTTTTTAAAGTTCCTAAATATGTTCACCCAAGTGTTCCGCACCTTGCTCAGTGATGAAAAGGTAACTGAAGTGAAACATCTTGAAAGATCCTGTTCATTGAAACAATTCACCAATTGCTTACTTCTGAGGCAAATACAAGGGTATTTCAAAAACTTCTCAGAAAAATGGGATCAAAGTTTATTTTTGATGTCACAAAAATGCTGAAGCATCTATATGCTAGGGGTCTTCAAAAAGTTCCTGGAAAAGGCCTACTGTGAAAAACTACACATGACTTTCAAGATTATGCACCAAAATAAATCTACCATTTAACTATTTTTTTGGCTAATGTTTTGAAGTACCCTCGTATTTCACTTCCAATATAAACAGAAAATTAAGTGTGGTTAACATGTTTCTGGGATGTTGTTAAACTCTAAGAAACTCAGGTTGTAGCCAGCCTTCCCCTACAGCAAGCGAAAGACAGTAAGCAGGTCACTGGGGAAGAATCTATGGAAAAAAAAAAAAAAATCTCACTCACTCTCAAGGAAAATCCAAGAGGGAAAAACAGATGCCTGGTCACTGATGAATATAAGAATTTAGTACAAGGAATTCTTTAACATTAAGCAATTGTTTTTGCATTTCAGCTGAAACTACTAACACAGCACTGCGTAAGGAGGAGTTAGAAGGCACTGTTCAGGGAATATAAAGGCAGCAATTTAAGTAATCTAAACCTTGCAGGGCACAGGGGATGTACTTTCCGGAAGTCACAAGAGAAGGAAAAGCAAAGACTATGGCAACACAGGTGACTCTACACACAAAGAATCGCTCCCAGAGGTGTTACCATAACAGCCAAGGCAAGCTCCAGAATCCAGTGCTTCTGCCACTTAATCAGGTTCTGAGACATGTATTTAGTGACAAGGGACTGACAGCTTTCACTTGGGAAGGTCTTAAAGGTCCCACGTGATCCCTGACAACAAGGACCCAAATTGAAGTGGTATCAAAAAGACAAAAAGAGAGGCAGAGGGATGTGTGCAGTACCTGAACTGAGACAGAGGAGAAGAGGAAACGATGGAGCATCAGGATTTAACCCTGTGGGGAAAAGAATAGCTGAGTCGCACAGACATCAGGAAGGCCAGATGGAAACAACACTACGGTAAGTCAAAAAGGATGAGGAAAATACCCTGCAGGCAGCTGAAACAGGAGACAAGGCGTAACAGACAACTCAGCACAAGATATCTGAGCTGCACCCAGATAGGTGAATCGCAGGAAAAGCTAAGACATCCCCAAGGGACATGCGCAGAGAAAAAGAAACAACAGGTTGCATTCTCATAAAGGAACTAAGGACACGGACACACCAAAGAGATAATGGAATCATTTTGTTTAGAGGAGGAAAATCACTTCAGTGTAGTATTTCTAGAGACTGGGGCAGAAGGAAGCTTTTGAAAAAGATATAATATCAACTATCACAGAGAAAGAAAGAGAAGTATGGGACTATGGAGGCCATTGTGAAAGACACGTACATGATACATTATTTGGAAAATTTTAAACAAATAAGTCCACAGGGAAGGCACAACTGACTGCTGCAGCTGAATCACCCCCCTGGGGGTGGGGGTGGGGAGGGGCAACTGAGCAAAGTTCAATCCAGAAAAGGACCACCTATAGGAAACAATACATGGTCTCCTCTTTCCTACTTCTGGAAATACTATCTGTTGGTAATATTCTCACTAACTCAACTTCCAAATAATTTTGTAGACCCAAATACACCATATTTTGTTTGCAGTTACTAAACACATTCATGTAAACTAGTGAGGGATAAAAAGACAGTATGTTTTCCTCTATTTCACCTCTCATATTTTGGCACACTAGTGTTGTAAAACAGCAAAGTCTAAGAGCAGGTGGCTGGCCTGGTGCGTAATTTGTCTGCATCCCACATCAGAGGGTCTGGGTTTGACTCCGGGCTTCAGCTCCTCACTCCAGCTTCCTGCCAGTGCAGAACATGGGAAGCAGTGGTGATGGCTCAAGTAATTGGGTCTTTGGCCACCCATGTAGGAGACCTGGATTGTGTTCTTGATCTCACCTCAGGCCTAGGTTTTGCACAGTTGCAGAATGAACCAGCAGATGGGAACTCACTCTGTCTCTAACTAGAATTTTCTTTTCTTTTTTTTTTTAAAAAAAGATTTATGTGTGGCCGGCGCCGTGGCTCAATAGGCTAATCCTCCACCTTGCGGCGCCGGCACACTGGGTTCTAGTCCCGGTCGGGGCGCCGGATTCTGTCCTGGTTGCCCCTCTTCCAGGCCAGCTCTCTGCTATGGCCAGGGAGTGCAGTGGAGGATGGCCCAGGTGCTTGGGCCCTGCACCCCATGGGAGACCAGGAAAAGCACCTGGATCCTGGCTCCTGCCATGGGATCAGCGCGGTGCGCCGGCTGCAGCGGCGGCCATTGGAGGGTGAACCAACGGCAAGGGAAGACCTTTCTCTCTCTGTCTCTCTCTCTCACTGTACACTCTGCCTGTCAAAAATAAAAAATAAATAAATAAATAAATAAAAATTTAAAAAAAGATTTATGTATTTATTTGAAAGGCAGAGTTACAGAGAGGCAGAGGCAGAGGCAGAGGCAGAGGCAGAGGCAGAGAGAGAGAGAGAGAGAGAGAGAGATCTTTCATCTGCTGGTTCACTCCCCAAATGGCCACAACAGCCGGAGCTAGGCCGATCCAAAGCCAGGTGCCAGGAGCTTCTTTAGGGTCTTCCACATGGGCGCAAGGGCCCAAGGACTTAGCCCATCTTCTGCTGCTTCCCCAGGTGTATTAGCAGGGAGCTGGATCAGAAGTGGTGCAGCCAGGACTTGAGCCAGGGCCAATATGTAGGCAGAGGCTTTACCTACTATGCCATAGCACAGGCCCCTAGAATTTTCTTAACTCCTTAAAATCCCTAAGCAATATTTTTATTTTTGTGAACTATAATTCACAAACAAAACCCACCAACTTTAAATATACAATTCAGTAAGTTTTGACAAATTTAAGTTATATAAACACCACTGCAATTAAGATATAGAACACATTTCCATCATTTCCAAATGTTTTCTGGTGTCCCTGTAGAGTCAGTGGCTCCCTGAACACCGACCACTACTAGTTTTGCCTTTTCTAGAATTTCACATAAAAAGAACCATAAGAAGTAAATATATAATATTTAACATCCTAATCAATTACCATCTTAATGTTTAGTGTACAATTCAGCAGACTTAAGTAAATTCACATTATTATTACACGGCTTTTGGTGTTTGGTTTCTTTCACTTAGTATGCTTTTCAGCCAGAATGTTTTTGAGCTTCATTCACATTGTTGAATATGTCAGTAGTTTGTTCCTTCTTTCATTCTCATTTTATTTGAAAGGCAGAGAGAGAGATCCTTCCTCTGATGGTTTATTTCCCAAATACCTACAACAGCCAGGACTGGGTCAGGCAGAAGCAGGTAGACTAGAACTTCATCCAGGTCTCCCATGTAAGTGGCAGAGACCCAAGTACTTCAACCACTACCTACTGCACCCCAGGATGTACATCATAAGGAAGCTGGATTAGAAACACAATAGCCAGGGCCAGTGCCTTGGCTCACTTGGAATCCCATATGGGCACCGGGTTCTAGTCCTGGTTGCTTCTCTTCCAGTCCAGCTCTCTGCTGTGGCCCGGGAGGGCAGTGGAGGATGGCCCAAGTGCTTGGGCACCTGCACCCACGTGGGAAACCAGGAGGAAGCACCTGGCTCCTGGCTTTGGATCGGCTCAGCGCTGGCCGTGGCGGCCATTTTGGGGGTGAACCAACGGAAGGAAGACCTTTCCCTCTGTCTCTCCCTCTCACTGTCTGTAACTCTACCTGTCAAATAAATAAATAAATAATCTAAAACAAAACAAAAAAACCACAGTAGCCAGCACTCAAATCAGGCATTCCAACATGAATGCAGGCATCACAAGGGATGAGTTCATCACTGCCTCAATGCCTACCCCAGTTTGTTTTTTTTAAATTGCTGAATACTATTCCATAACATGGATATATCATAATGTATTTACCTAGTTGCTAGACATTTGGGCTGTCTCCAGTTTAGGGCAATAATTTATACTGCTGCTATGAACATTTGTCTCCCAAATTTTACGTGAATGTATACTTTCATTTTTCTTCAGTAGATATCTCTGGGTAGAGACACTGGGTCATACAGTCTATTGTACTTTGTAGGAAGCACTAGAAATTATTTCGATCTCACAATCTGAAGCAAATTTATAGTCCATGGACACCAACAGAAGTCACTGCCGGAGCCAGCACTGTGGCGCAGCGGGTTAACGCCCTAGCATGAAGCGCTGGCATCCCATATGGGCGCCGGTTCAAGATCTGGCTGCTCCACTTCCGATCCAGCTCTCTGCTATGGCCTGGGAAAGCAGCAGAAGATGGTCCAGGTCCTTGGGCCTCTGCACCCACATAGGAGACCTGGAGGAAGCTCCTGGCTCCTGGCTTCTGATAGGCACAGCTTCGGCCATTGTAGCCAACTGGAGAGTGAACCAGCAGATGGAAGACCTCTCTCTCTCTCTCTCTCTCTCTCTCTCTCTCTCTCTCTCCCTCCCTCTCTCTCTGCCTGTCCTTTCTGTGTGTAACTCTTCCAAATAAATAAATAAATCTTTGAAGAAAAAAAAAAGGAGTCACTGCCTCCTAGATCATCCCACATCTCCCTCAAGGTATGAGCCTAAACTTCACACTAATGGTTCTGCATGAGTGGATACTGGCAGAAAGAGCAATTCAGCACATCAGTTCTTGAGACTGGTGTAACTTAACCAATGCTCAGAGGACTTTGACGATAATGAAGACATTAG